TCTCTTCTCTCTTCTCTCTTCTCTCTTCTCTCTTCTCTCTTCTCTCTCTCTCTCTCTCTGTCCCTCCCGTCACCGGAATGACAGTCCGAAGATTTAAACCAACCACGGACCCCGAAACTGGTATGCACGCTAAGCTATGTCTGTCAAAGAAAAGGGGAAAAAAAAAAACTATATATGTACAGTATGTAGAAGAATCTGTTGCTTCTCTCTCTGTTCCTCACTGTGCTAAAGGGCCTCTGACACATTGCCGGAGTTCAATCTCCCTTGCCACACGTTCTGCTTTCTTTCGGGTTTGCGTTGAAATGCGCGTCACATCGATGGTTGTAGAGTACTGCGATAAGTCGTCCTCACAGTGAAAAGGAAAGAAAAGGGAAGAAAAGGGGGAACTTTGTAGAACTCTCCACAAACAAAAAGCAACAAACACTCCTTGAAGGTCGAAACATATCCGAAGAGCTCCGCGTTGGCTTTGAACTGGTCCCACTCACCTGGTCCAATTTCACTTACAGTGGCCTGTCGTGGGCCAAACCTTCACGCCCTGCCTGTCGCGGAGGAAAGCTCCTCAAAGGAAACTTCAATCTTCAAAGACTGTGATAACGTGACGCCATTTAACCCAGGAACTCCCAACACTCTCCAATTGAGTTCTCCTCCAAAGTACCGTTACAACCACCAGGTTCTTCCCAAGGTTGCAGGTCTCGCTCCTTCATTGAGAGCTAAGATAAATATTCAAGAAGGAAACTACAAACATAATTGCGGGACCTAAGGCCTAGGTTGCCCAACTGAAGACACTCCGTTTGATTGCCTGCCTTGTTTTGTGATGTGGCACCACTGATCTCCTGTGGGAAAAGAACGCGTCAAAAAAAGATACGACGTAAACGACGCTTTTTTTTGGCAGAAGGTCTGTGCGAAGAAACGCCTTGTCAGTGCGAAAGGTCTGGACATGGTCGTCCACATTGGACTCCTAGGACCGGACGCTACGGTCGCTAGTCTCTTTCGCTCAAAAGGAAGAGCCATTTTTTTGTAGCCCAGGGGAGGGGGCTAGGCTGGTAGAGCTAGTAATAGAGGTAGCTAGCAGGAGCTAGGTAGCAGGTAGCTAGTACCTACAAGTAAGCTACTACATATGGACGCAGGATAGCTCACGCTATTCATTTGGTTTCTGGATGTTTAGGGAAACTTAAGTTTCATACTATTTGGAGCCTGCAACTTGCCTTTGTTTGCATGCTCCGTGAAAGCCAATTGCGGTTATATATAAGTTGTTTTCGGGCGAAGCCAATTGACCATCCAAGCGTCAGAAGGTGATGTTTCTGGAGTTCCTTCGCGTGGAGTTAGGCCTTTGTGTCCGAATCAAGCACGAAAAGGCAAGAGCGAACAAAGTCGGTCTCAAATGTACTCCAAATAATCCGCAGACCCAGCTGAAGCGGGGGAGCGCGCAAGGCAATTCCAAATACTTTATGACACTATCTCTGTGCAAGGTTTCTCAAGGACAGGGACGGTTGGAAAGCCAAGACCTCACGCAGTGCCTTCGTGGCCTTTAGGGCCTATTGAAAGAACTCGCAAATGCTGCCGAATCGTTGCAACTGAGCTGCTCCGGGTGGAGTCACGAGAGTTCAGACCAGAATCGTGAGTGGCTGTCGACAAGCATGGGCTTGTCGGAGCTGCCAAATGGCTCTCAACCTGGAACGGAGGCAAGGCGTAAAGAGGCATACAGCATACATGTCTGATCCCGTGCCTCGACCGAAAATCCCTGTTGAAGTTCAAACGCACAAATTAGATACAAATATATACAAATGTTCTGCGCAAGTGCACCTCACTGTCTCAAGGGTAAGCAAGTTCCACGCCATGGGACGGCAACATGCCGTATGCTCATGCATGCGAATGCACGCTAATGCTGCTCCGGACGGCCCTCCGAAACCGCCTTCTTCTTGATACTCTCAGTGATGGCTTGGGTCTTGCTGCTCCGAAGCTCGTGAAGCTTTGTAAGAAGAGTCTTGGCATCCTGAAGGGTGCCAAGGGACAGCTGTTCCCTTCCCCGTGTCCAATCACTGAGTGCGGGGCCGCCGTTTTCCCGGCCGTTTTTGAACCTCCATGGAAGGTCAACAAAAAATGCTTGAAAAAGCGGACCCGTCCAGAAAGTCTCAAGCACTGAACTTTGCGATAGTCAGAGGCAGCAACTTCGTAAAACATTCAGGCCTTCCATTTTCGCAGGGGCAGCGCGTTTAGTCGCTGTGCCCACTCTATTGGGCCGGAGCTGCATACAAATATCGCTGGGTTGGCCAAGATGATTATGAGATTGCATGCACTGCAGGGGCTGGACGAATGGGAATGGTGTACGTGAGCGACTTGCCAAAAAGTCAAAGGCACAACTCTTGGTCTCAATTGACTTGAAACTTTGAGCAGCCGGCAGTTCATCTCGAGGTGCCTTAGCAGGAAGGGCACGCAAAACAAAAAACAATTGACAAAACAAACTTTTGACTCGGCTTCAATCCACCTATATGAGAACTGTGTTTGATGGGACTTGGAGAAAGTTGCGGGCCTCCTGGAGTTGCCTTTCCTCCTCCTGTGAGCGCACGTTGTGTGAACACAAGTGGAAACAGGATGAATCTGAGCAAGTTCGATCGCGAATGAACCCCAAATGTCCTCTGCAATGTGGCCTGGAGATACATCCTCCACAGACTCCATCCCTAAGGCAGTGGACTTCACCACTCGCCAGCGCACGCTATTCGAATCTACTCGAGCCACCAGTCACTCCCCATACGTGTCATGGATGCTTCGCGCTGGTGTTACTTAGGCATCGGCCCCATGCACTCTGCGTGCCATGCATCAGCCTCGTGCCGCACGGGTTGCAAACGGAACTCTCCGCCATTGGCAGGCAAGAAACTGCTTCCACGTCGTGTACCCAAAGTGAAAGAGGGCAGTGAGGCTGTGACAACCTCGGTGCTGAGGAAAAGATATCAAAGTACCCGACTACTCAAAACTGAGTTTGCAAGATTTTGAGAGGTCCAAAAGGACTATCTGGAGTTTTGGGCATCACCTCCAAAATTGCACATGATTTGCTGAGGGCCGGCGTCCACTCATGCCAAATTCGCAAACCTGTGAGGTTGCTCAAAGTCGGACTATCCACATAATCTAAATGAGATTTGATGGCCTTGTGCACCCACTGGCTCATGACATCGCTGGGCTCTGCGATCCTCGAATCCTCACGGCTTGGCAAGGCCTGCAAAGGACATCTGGTGCATGTGGACTATGTATGTACATATATAGACCTTTGCGAAGATGTACAGCACTGGAAATCCGTTCTATATCTGTTCGGGGACCTCGGTATATCATTCGGCACCTCGGAAGAGCGTTCAGAGGGCTCCAAATGAGATGCCTTGTCCTGCAGCTGCTGCAGAAGGCTGGCGAACTCATTAATTGAAGTGGTAATCACAAAATCTTCTGCGGAAGTCAGACAACAAATGAAAACTATAGAATTGCCCCACCACACTCGGAAAAATGCAAACCCAACCTCACTGGAAGCTGGGCTGGAGCCTTGAAATGCCAAAAATCACAGCAATTACTTGTTGAGCCTCCGTTGCGCACAATCTCACTTCCTTTCTTTTCCCATCAAGCGAAGGTCAGTTTCTGCTCTTCAGTGACAATGCGCAAGCGTAACTCGCGCATCTCAATTTCAAAAGCTTGAGCTTCAGCAAGCAACTTCAGCTCGGCCTCTTGTGCCTTTTGCTCATGCCATGTGGCCTGAGAGATGTCTTCTCGCAGCTGCCTCGTCACAGCCTGTTGATCCAAGAGCCTCTGCTGGAGAGAATCCACCAACAGCCGGTGCCCATCATTTCCATCGGTCCTGGCGCAGAACAGTCCCACACCTTCCCTTATCCGCAGACTCTAATCTCAAACCCGATCCCCGCCAATTTCAGTCATGCAAATGTCGTCATTCGGCCCCGTGCTCACTACCACCCGCGGAATCGCTTAAGTCAGCAAGTTCGCGGAAGAGTTTTTTGCATCTTGATAGGAAACTACTTTCAATCCACCGTGCTCAGAAGCAGCTTTGTCAGAGGCTTTAGGTCCATATTCAAGGTGGAAAAACGGGTATGAGAACAAGCCAGCTGTTTGGATTTCAGAAATGAACAAAATGATTCCGAATTCATTCCGCGCAATATAGGTTCGACCTTCGTCCTTTGGGAAATGAAGGTATGAGGAGCTTTGCATTGCTTTCCGTAAATGTCGGAACCTACTCATCTGTGACCAAGACATACCAAGACCAGTCTCTAGCTCAGTCAAATCATGTGGACCTGATAGCAAGTATAGCAAGTTTGTTCGATGGACATGATATGATCTAAAGTACAGTGCATTTGCAGCTTCAAGCCTTGCCTACGCCAGAACAAGACTTGGTGGATTGCAAAGCCCAGGACAAAAGCTCACTAAGCTTGAAATTGCATTCGGACGAGGCATTTAGGCACAAACATCTGGAAAGCATGAAAGAATTGAAAAGGCATGTCACACTATCGACCTTTTCTTTGGACCAGAGTCCTCCATTCGGGCCCAGAGCCATCAGGGTCATCTTCGTCACAGAGTTCCGTGTACTGCTGCTCCATAGCTGTGAGCAAATCCTGTAAATCCGAGAAGGCCTGCCAAATCTTCTTGGCTTTGGCTGCACATTCTCTTGATGCCCTCAGGCGATGGCGCTTGACCACGAGCTGGTGCAGTTCACAGCTCGCAACCGTCTGTTTCCAGAAGTCATGCTCGGATGCTGGTCCCCCCCCATGACCCGGGTAGTGGCGATGAGCTCTCCAGACGGAGATCTCGAGGCGTCGATCGCCTCAAAAGGGACCTTTCAGTCGATCGCGCCATGCCGCGTGGATGCAATGGAACCAAAAAGCTTTGCTTGTTCCATATGATAGGGTGGCGAAGTGGTGTCCAATCTCCAAACCATCAAAACCAAAACTTGTTCAAAACCGTTGCCTTTGAAGTGCGCTATGCAAAATCATTACAGTACTGCAATTTACTCTTAGTCATGTCATGATTGCATTGAGTTTTCTCGGGGACCCACTAGCCTCCTGCAGAAATACCAGAAAGATTGGCACATGAGTCACACGCACATGTGAAAAAAGGCTTGTTGGCCATGTTTGGGTCTGGGGCCCGGGCACTGAGAGCCCAACACTCCAGCAGCATCGGGGACAGCGTATACCACAAAGGTACCATCCTGGTACTTGCGAGGTGGTGACCCTTTGAGATCTTTCTCTCCGGGCCTCGTTGCAGGAGATAGAGACCCTGATGCTGGATGCTGCACCTCATGGGCGAATGATGAGGAGGCTCCTCTCTACGGCACAGCCACTCTCACAGCATTCTGAGCTCCAAGGCCAGCTGCAGCTGAAGACCTGTGGCGATCTGCCATGCGCCTCAAATCTGCAGCATTCTGAGCTTGGGTCAAATGAGAGTAGAAAACATCGCGGACTTGGATAATGAGAGCTCTTTTTTGCAACGCTTCAACTCGACCTATTGCGAAGACCCCTAGCAGCTCTAGCAGCAGTCGGAGTTATTGAAATTGAAAATCATGGAACAAACAATCCTAACAATCCCTCTTCGTATGAGCCGAACCCATGAGAAAAAGAATAGCAAAGGACCGATCACAAACCGTGGCTCTGGCAGTTCGCATGTCAAGGCTGCCAACTTGCCGATGTCATTCTGCAGTGTCCTCACATCTCTCTCTCTCTCTCTCCCTGTTTCTCTCTTTAGCTAGTTGCATTTCTCTGCTTAAAAATTGAGGTCGCAGCTTGATGATGTGCAAATAGTTCTCAAAGCGTTGTCGGATCATACCCTGGAGCTTCCCTTTCAGGTGCTCTCCCATACCTGACAACACTCCAGTGACCTCAACCAGTCTGGTGACAGGCGACATCCGTTACAGTCCCTAAGCTTGCAACGCATCACCAACGGGTTGACCTGCTCTGCTGCAATTGCCCAAACCACGAAGGGAAAGTTAAACACTTAAACACGACAGCTGGACGGTAATTGTGCCATCTCTGGCAGTCCCAGAAGGTGCCAAGGATGATGAGGCCTACAGCCGATGCAAATAGGACACTGAGTCATTGGGGCCATGTGAGCAACGAGATCTCCAACAATTTGTGTGAGGCTCCCACATCATCATGCCAAGACCTGTCTGTCTGTCGGTCGGTCGGTCCGTTCCTCCGTCCGTCCGTCCGTCCGTCGGTCGGTCGGTCGGTCTGTCGGTCTGTCGGTCGGTCTGCCTGCCTGCCTGCCTCTCTGCCGGTCTGTCGGTCATATACAACGCCGTAGCGTCAAACACGGATAAAGAGTTGGATTGGATTGTGAAAGCACAAGGTGTCATCAAGCAAGGTGCCCCCAGTTCGAAGTCAAGTGATTAAAAATAGGCCCAAGAGAAGTCCCCAACAGCTGGGCATGAATTTGCTGACTTAGCAATGGCAACAGTTGGTATCTAATGATAAGTTTGCGACATGGGCAAGTTCATTAACAAGTGGCGGGTGGCACCTGCTTTCAGTCATGACCTAATTTTCGCATCTCAGCGCAACAACGTGTTAGCATGTTAGCGTGTTCTGTGCCAGTATGACAACACGTCAGCACGACAGCCTGACAACGTGCCAGTGCAACACCACGCCGGCATAGCAGCGCAACAATAACAGTCATACGCAACAACGTGTCTGCACACGTCTGTGTGACAGCATTCAACAAGCACAGTACACCAACATGGCACCATGTCGTCACCTTGTCGGAGTGGCAACACCTCAGCGTGTCAGAGAAAAACGCATGGGCATGGGGTAGCAAAAGCCGCGCTGTAGTCTGATGGCAGGTCAACACGCCAGCAAGCATGACAAAAGGCTGGCATCGTGACGTGTGAGCACTATATGCCGTCATATATCTGCAAGGTCCTCCGGAACTTGTGGCAAGCTGGCCGGAACCTGCTCCGGAACGTGCTCCGGAACCTGCTCTGGAACCTGCTCCGAAACCTGCTCCGGAACCTGCTCCAGAGCTTGCTCCGATCTGCTCGGAAGTCTATACTATGGGTGAACCTAAAGCTTCGCTGTTGGGGAAAAACGTCCATATTGACACTAGGACACATCTGTTTCAAGACTTGAAGTGAACTTAGTAGCTGCACGTTGAGGCTGTGGCGAGAATTCCGAGGGACCGTCTGAAGGTGCCTTGGACCTTGCTGGTGATTGTTCCAGCCTTGGTCGTGGTCGTGGTCCCACCCAGTTGCCGAGCCCCGACATCGTGTGGGACCCACAAAGCACTTGATCGTGATGGGGACCTGAGGGTAAAGCAAGATTGTGGGCCCTTCACTCGAGGATGCACCTCCAAGTAGTCAACCGAGGCAATGTGTGGAACAAGCGTTGGAAGCAAATGGCTAGCACCTGCGTAGCTAAAGGCCAGTGGGTGGGCGGAAGACAACGACCTGTCAAAGACAAGTTGCGTGTGCGTCAAATGCTGCAACATGCCAAATCTGATGTCAATGCAAATGCCTGTAAGCCATGGCATCTTGCAAAAGCCCGAGCGGGGGGCACTGACTGGTCACTTGTTGCTTGTCGAAGGGCTTCGAACTTTCAAACGAGCAAGGGAGGTGCAAGTGACAAGTGGGCAAGCTTTATGCTTGCGCCTTCAGGGGGTACACCTGATAGCAGTGTATACTACCACAGAAATACAACAGCTAAGAAGTAGATAGTTGCAAGAGAAGTGCTGATCCTTCTCAACATCTCAACGATACCTATGATACCCCTCTTGCACGTTGAAACCCAAATAAGGTCCAAAAAGGCAACGGGAACGCGATTCCACCACAGCTTGAGCGTCAATGCTTTTTGGCATATGCAGAGGTCGTCCACAGACCCGCATCTGCATAGCCATGTTCCCCTTTTTTTCGAGGCAAAGTCTCGCGGAACCTAATGAGGGCGCGTGCTACCCCTCAGCTGCAGGAACACCTAGGCCGCAAATGTCAGCGGTCAAAAGCGTCAGCCAACCTCCAAGTGACACACTGTGCCATGATGTGAGATGATTCCGAGGAGCATTGTGAATTGGAGCTTCTGCCATCTGCAGTTGGCTGCCATCCAATGCACCCAAAGCCTTCAGGTGTGAACAGCCAACAGCCTCCATTCTCCATAATGACACCCGATCCCAAAACATTCCGAACCTCTTTGAGGCCTTGGATCTCTTTCTCTCTTTTCTCCTTTCTCTCCTGCAATTCTTGTTGCAAATTTGGAGCTCAGAAAGGCACTCGGAGAATACATTTATATAACAGTTATATATATATATATATATAGTATACACATAAATATATATGTATATATGATGTTATACATTCTATCTATTGTATATATATACACTCTAAGCTGTCCTCATACAGCTCAGGTTTGGCAATGCATTGGTCCTGCACAAAGCAAGGTGTTGGGCATTGGCATCTGAGCTGCCAAAAGAATCAATTCAATTCTTGTCCTTAAGCTTCGCCATATAGTCCTGGACCCCAAAAGTGACAGCAGCACGCGAGGCGTTTCTTGCTGAGAATGCCCGAGCCAAAGCCACCCTGATCACGCAAGCGCCCCAGTCCTGGAGCGCCTCCAGCTCTTCAGTCGCTGCTGTGTGGTCAGAGTTGAGCTCGTTCAACATCTGCCAGTCAGATTGGAAACTGAGTAAAGTAGTGTCAGAAATCAAGAGTCTCAAGCAGGGGCCTGCGAAACGCTGTCCCAAATAATGACATGCCCACAAGGCTATATACAGTACTTGGTAGACAACTAATGTCAAAAGAAGCTAGAAGGTCGGAGGCCATTGCTACTAGGTTGGGGGCCATCTTTGGTTCTCTTGTTTATGAGTATGTGTATATATATAGTGCTAATTTGCTTATTTCATTTCTGTAACTACATTCAACAGCTATGGTCCCCAGATCTGCTAAAGGTATCTAGAGGTGATCTTCTGGGCCGTGCCTTCTTCAACTCTGTTAAATCAGCTGTGTTGCTGTCAACCTGACACCAAGGCCCATGGTACGACCAAGGCCGAGAGGCCGAGGGCGACAAACACCGTAGATCTCATTGAGATGCGCGCTTCATGCTGCTTCGTCGCTGACATTACGGCATTGTCTTTGGAGATCTTCCTTCATCCACCACTTTGGACAGTTTAAAGAGCTGACACAAGAAAAGAGACGCAGCTGTCTCTCCGACCGAGCAAAATGAGTGGGAACAAAAACTGCCAAGAGCGAGATGCGGCGAACAAAGAGAAGGCTGCACAAAGCTCCAGGCTCATACTCGGAGACCGCCAACTTCTCTTCAGATTCCTTGTCCACACAATTCAGAAGAGTTGAGAATTCCTTTTGGTGGCATTGGTGGCATGAGTGGTTCCACCAATCTTGAGCAAAGGGAGTAGGCTTCGGACTAGCACAGTGACCTGAAATGATATCAGCCAGAGGCAGCCAGAGTCTACACAGCACAAACCACCTACTGACTCAAAGTCTTCAAAAAGAATATTGCAGCGCAAGGCTGAGGGCACTGCTCGCCTGTGGATATCTGACTTGGCATACTCCAACATAGAAACCTGAAACAACGAAGCAACTCTGCCTTACGAACAGCCAGAGTTATTTCGATGGTTGCTTCACTAGGCCACCGACAACTTGTTTGCCTCTGCCTCCAAACTAGAATCATTGGGTATTCTGCGATATGGACTGAACACATCTGCAAACCAGGATGTTGGCCTACTGGATCGCCGATTCTGGCATAGTAGGTGCGTCTCAGTGGGCAAACCATGGAACGAACCGATGATGCTCGTGAGAGGTCGCTGACACATGCGACACATGCGACGCTGCTACTAGGGGCTCCTGGCATCGCTACTAGGAGCAAGGACGCTACTAGGGGCTCCTGGCCGCACTACTAGGAGCAAGTAGCTACTACTAGGAAGAAGAAGTTACTTCCTTTTCTCTTTCATCAGACCCCTTTTCTAGTCCGCTAAGAGCGGTACAGCACTTGCAAGGCCGTACGCAGTCCCTCCATCCCTTCCTCACAAAGGACCCTATCAACTTGACATGCGCAGCCCTCAAAGGTTTTAGACTCAAGAATGGTACGGAGCGCCACAAATCTTGACTGCAATCTGGTTTGGCATAACAAGCCTCAAATACAAATGCAGGAGTGACTGGCCTTGGCATGGAGCTGGGCTTTGTCAGCCAAGGCTTTCTCTTTCTGTCGGACCTCCAGGAAGAGCTGGTTGAGATTGTCTATTGCTTTTGTGGTTTCACAGACTCTTGGGTCACTTCACTTTGCCTCCTCCATTTCCAGCTGCGTCTTTGCCAAATCAGCCAGCTCCTTGCATCAGACTCGGACTCGCTGGACTGGTAGGGCAACTACCGGTCACCACCGGGAACTTGAAATTGATGGCGGCATACTGTATATCAGATCAGCACAACCAGTTCAACAACTTGATCAGCTTGCTGCTTGACCATGCGAAACATATTGACTAAGACGATTTCCCCGGCTTTTTCAAGGAAACCCTGGCCTGGCGTAGTGTGTTTGTTAGCTCTGTGAGGTGAGCCGCCTGAGCTTTGGCCTGCTCGATCTTCGTCCTTGACGAGTGCAATGAACACCAACACGAAGTTCCAGATCGACCCCATATCACTGGCAAAGGAATGCATCCCATGTCTTTCAATCCATATCATCCTACGGGCCGCTGTCTGAAGATGCATTTCACTGAGCTTTGCGACCCAAGCTTGTCCACATCCTCTTGCTTGTCGGCACCTGTGGCGCTCCACAGCTCCATGATGTTGGTGAATTGTCGCTCCGAGGTCCGAGGAGACTGCTCTTCACTCCGGTCACAGACATCTCCTTGTCACAGAAAGCCTTGGAGCTTCGTCGGAGCTTCGTCGGAGCTTTGCTTGCTGAGAGCCCCAGGGGACAGATGATGCAACTTTCTGCACACGTGCAAAGGAAAAACCTTTCACGATGACTTGCAGAAAACATCCACCCTATCTAAACCGCATGTTTTTATTTGTTTTGCAAGTTGGGGAATAGTGCTAGCGTTCAGTATGTTGTTGCTCTTTTTTGGTATAGATCCTTATTCCATGTATAGCGTGCCCCGTGCCTTTGCACTTTCATTTTCCCCTTGCTGAACCGGTGCTTTTCGAAGTGCGCACCTGGTGATCTGCTTCCGCTCGGGCTTCGGATTGGAGATGCTCCTCAGTCTGATTTCTTCAAACTCACCTCAGGCCCCTCAGGCCAGAAAAACCTTTCCTTTCCACACTGCCCCAGACACTGCATCCAAAGCCGAAAGGAAAAAACATGGCACAACACGGTGAGTCAACACAAGAATCAAGAAGACATGCGAAGGTTGTGGAAGGAGCCGGCACCAAATCTGAGCTTCGGGCAATCATACCCTCAATGAGTCCTGACTCCGGTTGACCCCAGAAAAAATGATGAACTTGAGCAAATTTAGGACATCAAAGTTTCCTCCATATCATACGGGCAACACATGGCATCACCCTTCCCATCCAACTTGTTCCCAGATGTGTTCGCCACCGTCCTCTCACCTTTCTGAAAGGATCTGCACCTCAGTTCCGTCGAGAAGCCTCCCAATACTTTGGCACCGAACATCCATGGCTCCGGCCGCTGTGAATGCGCCTGCTAGCGGCGTAGTCCAAACGGCCAGCCAACTCTACAAGCCTTGCACCAACACCGTACATCAAAAGCCCAGCTGTGCTTCATTGCCAACACATGCCAACACCGTACATCAAAAAACCAGCTGTGTTTCATTGAAGTGCGAGGCCTCTGGGGAAAAAGAAAAATCTATATAAGTCTATATATATATATAAGATTATACAATGCTAATAAACACCTACTGTGTAAGCACAAGATACAAACAATTCAGAGAATAGTGGGGCTAGGTGACCCATCATAAGACAAGTTATAAAAGCAAATGACATATATATTTGGGGGATATGATCATTTGTCCTGTTGGTCTTTCCCCTTCAAAAAGTTGGAAGCCTCTGGTAGGGCATAGAGCGAAAGACACAAGTTAGGAGTGGAGGGCACATCTCCTCTGGAAATCCCACTTCAATTCTCAAGCCATCTGGCGCCGTTTGGCCAAGTCTCGATGGCGAGTCCAACTTCACGGCCAAGCGCCTTTCAAAAAGTAGAGGGTCATCTCAGCCGTCTCCCGTGCACACAAGGATTCAGAGATTTCATGGTTTGTATATATAGGTTTGTATCCTGTGACGCTGTGCCTCACGGACCTGGCAGCTGCACCTGCAGCAGCCGCTCTTTCCTGAGTGACGGGAAGTACTTGAACATGTTTCATGATTTTGGCACCGACTTCACAAGCGAGTCTGCCAAGGAGGACCACATGGCGGAGCGACCGCCACAATTATCCTAGCGTAGCCGTAGCCACCCCCCCACTTACTTGACGGCATTTTATTCACAATGCTTGACTCTTGCCAAAGCCACAGAGTCTGCAGGTAGCCGAGCAGTGCCTGCAGCATACATGACCAGAACCAGTCTGCTAGAGTGCATGACTTGAAGGAAATGCTGGTTGGAAGCATAACTTTCCGAAAATCTTGCCAGTCGCGTGAGTGATTTTGTCTCTCAAGTCATCTGCGAACATCAGGTGAGACTGAGACCGGTGAAACCTGCTTCTTTGCTTTGGGCTTCGGCCAAGCTCGGCACACAGGGCAAGTGCTTCGATTTCCCGCCGACCGTAGCCATTTTGTCAGGCAATGAGAATGGAAAGCATGCTCTGCTGGGCACGGAAAGCACATAACCAAATCGTTCAGCTGAAGCTGGCACAGGCAACAGGGACATTCTTCTCCGACAGATCCATTCGGGCAGGGAAACGCGCGCAATTCCACTACAGCCGGTACCTTGGCCTTCGGCCTTGGGGCTGATATGTGTTGCAGACTTCTCGCGCCAGTCTCTGCCAATGTCGGTGAAGAGGAAGTGTTTGTCATCCTAACCGCCTCGCAGTGGACACCTCCGGGTTCCGGAAAGCTACGGGGCCGTAGGTTGTGTGGATTGCGTGGGGGACAGGCTGCAGCGATCACTTTTCGCGTCTTCTCCACTTCGGCCAGCTGTCGATCCAGCGACAACATGTACTCCTCATAGGTCCGCCGCTCAGCATGCCGACGAGAAAGGGTTGAGCCCACTCCACGCAATTCATCCGCAGCAAGGAGGTACTTCCGCAGCTGTTCTGAACTACCCAGAGGGTCATGGAGGAAGTCTTGTTGCACACCTGTAGCAAGGCCGCAACACTAGCGAGATCCCAGCCTAGACATTCTACATCATTCTACATATCATAATAGGCTTCTTTGAAAATGGACTATATATATATATAATACCCGTATATGTTGTTAGTATCGATTCGCAACCGCAGTCACAAGTAACGGATCCGGAGATACTTAGAAGGGAGCAGCACATAGCACCCGCCTGGGACTCGTGGCTGAGACTGGAAGGCAGCACGCCGTCCAGCATCTTCAGCTCGTCTCAGAAGCTTGGCTACCCTGTCCCTGCAAAACACAGCGTCGCACAGCTACGGCCAAAAGCAAATGATCTGTCTTAGTTTGTCACGATCCCATCACTGAAGCTTGCAACTTGATCAGTGGAAAATCAATGCCGAGCGAAGCGTCGGTGCATCTCCCATGGAACGCTTCAGAATGGGAAGTACATTGAGGTGCAAGGCTTCTGGTTTCGACATACTACACTCCCAAGCGCCGCCTTCTAGCGGCTGCTGTCTCTCGCCCCGAGCCTCAGTTTTGACAACTACTACGGCCTACCTCTATGGCACTCAACTTCTGTATAAATGAGCAAAGGGGCAAAACGACATGATTGGAGCGACATGCCCCTGCTTAAGCCCAAACAGCTCCGGTGCGTCCTCGTCGTGTGCTAATTAGCTATATAGTTGCCGCGCAAAATTGCTGCCTTCTCTCCATGGCGCGTGGAGAAGATGGGAGAAAACCCCACAAAGGCATAGGTAGGAAAGCCCGCTCAACAGCCACAGAAGCCCACCCCGATGTCCATCACAATAGGGAGCAAGTGCTGGTCAGGCAAGCCCAGGACAAGCAGCTTCATGGGTTGATGTGAGTCGGTCTCTGGCTTGCGTTTGTTCCTGGAAGTTCTTCGTTTGAAGGCTAATCGCATTTCCATGCGTGGAACCTGAAAACTGACCCATCATCCGCAGCTGGCTTCCCAAAGGGAAGGATCAAAGCAGGTCACGGGGGCCAAGAGGACAAATCCACAAACACTGGCCTCGACCGAGCTGGAGGAAGGACACGTCACCTCATTGGAGAAATTGACCCTCTTGATTTGTGCATTATGACCATCATGGCCAACCACTGGCCACTCTGAGTTCTTCACCTCCTCCCATTTTTGCTGAGATTGCATCCTTTGCATCAGCCAGGGCCTCCAGACAAGAAGAGCTCTCCACCAAAGACCCACCAAGACCAACCCACCTTCGACTCCAGAGACGATAGAAATTCAAACCAGTGATTTTAGGCTTTTAGGTGCCCCTTGTTGGATCAGTCTCTGGCTCTGTTGGATGATCTAACGGGATGAGGGCCTTCACTTCTTCAGCCTTGGCTTGCATGTCCTCCTCGAACTTCGACTGAGTTGCGCAAAAAACAGACAGCTGAGTTCACCGAGCTGTGGTGAAAGCATATACAGTAATCATTCACTCAAGCCGGCTTCGACAACATTCAAGAGAGAATCCAGTCGCAGCTGCAAGCATGGTGGCAAATGCACGGTCAAAAAGGCATCCAATGCGATTTGAACGCCACAGGTGTGAATCGCAGGACCCAGTGCCGCACAAATGGTCTGGAACACGGATCCCAATACACATTATTGCAGCTCTTAGGCTCGAGCGGCTTTCTTCAAGCATGTAGCTTGCAAGTCCTGCAATGCTGTAGCCTTAGTCGGGTAAGTCCTGCACATCTTGGAGTCGTTTGGCTCCTTCAAACGACTCAAAGGAAAAAACACCAAAGACTCCGGCCGCTTCGAACATGCTCTTCTTTGCTTCGGCCAGGCTTCCTTCCTGAATCAGAACTACGCTCTTCATTGCATGTGTCACGAAGATTTCATGTTCATCTTGGGCTGCCGGACAGCTGTAGCCTTTTTCTGAGCTGCTTCAGTCTTCATTTCCTGTGCAGCTGCCTGAAGATCAAATTGGACCAGTGGCGAAGAAGAAGGTATGACTGCCAAGGAGGCGTACCAAATCACGCTTCGAATACTTGAGTTTGGCTTCCAGAGACCTAAGTCACTCTGTTCATGCTTGAGCGGAGCTCCAACTTCAGTTCTGAAGCTTTGGCTGTTGAAGCCGCTGGAAGCTATGCAACCTATCTTGCTCCTCTTTCCGGAGTTTCTCCAACCTTCCGCCCAAGCAAAGATGGCATTGGGCCCGAAACTCATCCAAACAGCCATTGGAACAGGACGGGGGCACTCACCCTGCGCTTTCTCGAGGACCTCATTCAATACCTCCCGCACCAGGTGAGTGCGCAGTTCTAGAGCTCATGCAAACAGGAATTTGAAAGCACGTCTTCCAGAAGACTCAGCTCTCTTTTTGCAACTCGCTACAGCCACGCAAAGGTCACAAACCTCTGGCAACCTCGAGCTTTGTTATCAACGTCAATCTGGCTGCATCCTTGCACAACCAGTCTGGCAGACAATTTGGCTGAGTGGCTTGCCCTTGCCAGCCGAATCAAGCCTGCGCCAGTCACTAGCGGGTGAAAGAGTGAAACTTAATGCGCTCCGCTGCACTCCGCTGCGCTCCGCTGCGCATTGTGGCCTCTCTAGCTTCGATGGGGGGTCCTATTGCATGTTTGCGTGCCGCGGCTCTGACGCCCTTCGTGACGATGAAGCTGAGCCGTCAACCGATGCTCCTCACATGTCAACAGGATCAGGTTTGATTTCATAGTCCCCGATGCTCCTAGTGCCAAATTTCCACAGCCTCACCACAAGCCTGATGGGCCTCACGGGGCCTCTGATGGGCCTTACGGGCCGTTTTTCATATAGTCCCGGTGGCATTTTGGGGGACCCTCTCACCCCGTCCTCAATCTCCAAGTCTCGAAGTTCAGCTGCTGCTCTTGAGATCTTGGATCTCAAGACCTGTGCTCGGCTCGTGTGTCTTTGGCTATGGGTTACAATCTTGGCCATGAGACACAATGACAGAAAAGCTTTGCAACAAGAAACAAATATATATATATATATATACACTCTTACAGGATCGACAGGGTAGCAGGTTTGGATGTACTGCCATTAGCTCATCTTGCTGACGGCAGTCCAGTCTTCCATTTCAATATGTGGTGTTGATTGGTCCGTCTGCACAGGAGCCCAGCCTCCACAGACTCCGCTGCGGAATGCAAAATGGGCAGCAGTTTCTCTGAGAGGATCTTCTCCTGGCATGCACCCCCCTCAGTCTCTTTGGGTCCCTTCCGGTGGCGTAGCTGCTGACGCAAGTCTGTGTCAAAGTTGGAGAGCTGTTCCGCTATGCTCTGCTCACAGTCTTTGACCTGTGCCATATAGGCCTGGGGAACACTCTCCATGAGATCTCTCACCTGCTTCCGGAAGATACCATTATTGACATTGATGTCATGTCGAACCATGATTGGATGTAGAGAACTTCTGGAGCCTCTCAACTGCAGTAGACTGCGCGCAAAATGTTGAATGTCCAAATGTCCGGACGCCTCAGTTGAAAGAATATCAAAAAGCTTGGAGGGCTCAAGTTGCATGGAAATACCGTAGAGAGAAAGGATAGCCTGGAATTGCAGGTCGGAGAGCAACATCTCAAATGATTCAAAAGTCAAATGATCTTCTTCGATGCCCATCTTCTTGACCATCTCCTCAGTGGCTTTGACAAAGGGTGTCTCTTCTACGAGCCTTTCCTGCCATGTCCAGTTGTCCTCGCGGGCATGCTCCACCACTCCAGTGATAATCAGTCCTGTGACCAGGTTCACCAAGGTCAAGTTTGTGAGGATGATGAAACACAAGAAGTAGACGGCCCACAGTGGATTTACTTCCATGGCTGCATTGCAAATATCCACCCACTGTTCCAAGGTCATGAGCTTGAAGTGCGAAAAAATGCTCACCCAGATGTTTCCGAAGATCCGTCGCATTTCATCATTCTGTGAGGTGCCAAGCTCACTGGCACAAAATAGAGCCCCAATGTAGATCAGAGTGAAAAGGAGCAAGAAAACCCAGAAAACGGCCCGTAACGACATGGCAAGGTTGAAGGCCAAAGAAGAAAGTTCATGCGATAAGCGGAGCAACTGGAAGATCCTGGGAATGAGCGGTTGAAAGCTGCGAACTAGCAAAGTCGAGATATGCATCACACATCTGAAGTTATATAACATATCTTTCGGGCATAATGACGGATTTCCCAAACCGGGTTTTGTGTTCCCTTCCTGGCTAGCCGGAAGAGCTGCAATACCCGAAAGGCGCTGAAGGCGTCGCTAGCAGTAGAGCCATCGGCGCCACCCACCAAATTGATGGGCCGCATGATGCACAAGTCCACCAGCGCTGCGAGCACGACAAAAAAGTCGAAAATGCCCTGGAAATGGATCTTGTAACCCAGTTCGTGCAAGGCCTCTATGCAATTGGCTGACATGGCCTCAGTGTAATCTTGTCCACACACACAAGAGAGAGAGAGAGAGAGAAATGAGATGAAGTGAGTACGTACTGAATATATCGCCTCCAATGAAGGCCTGAGCGAAAACTAGTCTGAGTGAATCAAGTAAACCAAATTACTAGTGCAGCGGCGTGTGACCATGGCAATTCCATAGGTTCCAAAGGTATCCAACAGAAAAAAAATGCTCAAGCGACCCAACGACGTGCAAGTCTCCCGGATGCATCAGACCTAGCACGACCTCACCAACCCTGGCAACAGCCTAGAATGGATCGTAGTTTCCAAACTTCACACCAGGTTGGCCAGACCTGGCCTCCTCCATCACTCATGGCTTCGTTGGCATGCGTTTGCATGATGACCTCTTGCTAAATCTGATAGAACCCGTGACTCCGGGGTGTACACACAAGGGTAGATATATATATACATTGCTTTTTACAGTATGTAATTACTTAGTTACATCTTTTGTACATATAAATCAGGGTTGAGGAGGCAAGAACACCAAGTTGCTGGGCCACCTCTTCTGTAGAAGAAGCTCAAGCCATGGCAGCGGATATTCAGAATCAGTTCCACAATGAAAACGATCAAGAAAAAGCATTGGACCTTGGATCCACATATCCCTTTCTTGAAGGACTGGAGAGGGTTGTAGGCACACCCCAAGTTTGCATTGACTTGATCGCCAGGGCACTCCATACATAGCTAGTCCCAAGACGGAAGACCTGCCAAATGTGCTCTACCAGTCATACTAGGACATTCCTATCAACCACTGGTGTGGGTCCTGATCAGCACATTTTGCACACGTAACAAGCCTTCATTTAAGGTCTATGGGGAGGCTTATGGTAGGCCTGTGGGGCAATGCCCTCACAGCACACCAACACCAAATACCTTCTTGTCATTTTTAGCTGCTCTAGTAAGCTGATAGGCCTTCACCGGCCCTTCTTGTCATTGTACATCTGTCAGTTCAAGTCTACCGGGAACCCACTGAGTCTACCTATGCCTCTTCTCTCTCTGGGTTCTCTTGGCAGTTTGCCGTCGACTCTGACCACACCTTCCAAATTGGAGTTCCGCTTCAACCTCCACGCTCATGGCCGCTGCATTGAGAAGCACCGAAATGGCAACTGCCAACCTCAGGCTCGGCTCGGGGCAGTTCCTTGCAGAATGACACAAAAAATCAAAAATCAAACCACCAAAGGCAATGTTTTCGTGTGACATCGGTCTTGCGTCCTTGGGTAGCTATTCTGTGTCAACACTACAGTCACTACAGGTGCGGCAACTCCACCTTATCAGCACTGCAAACCAGTAACTTGGCACGCTCTGTCAGGATGAAAGGAACCTCCAACAGCCTTGGCAAAGGTGTACTCGAGGCTGGAGAAACGCCGGGTTTTCGTCATTGGGAAGCTAAGGCTTGTTAGCCCCCCAGGTCAGTTGAATTCTATGTCTATATCATTCTATTGCTTGGGAGCGCTCACTATTGCAAACCCAAAGCATCCCAAGCCATGGTGCGGTCAGCATCCCGTAGACAAACCGTAAGATCTTTCCGGAAGTTTAGTACGGGCGGTCAAAGGCCCACAGCCTTTGTGGGATTCCACATGCTGTTTTGCTTTGGCCGCTGCCCTCGGCGGGCGTTTTCGTCGTTTGAAAAGGTTGTGCCGTGGTCATCCAACTTGAAGAGATGTTGGAAATAACATGTTGAAGATCCAGCTACTGGGGCTCTTGGCACCGCTACTAGGAGCAAGGACGCTACTAGTTACTAGGGGCTCCTGTACTAGGAGCAAGGACGCTACTAGGGCTCCTGGCATCGCTACTAGGAGCAAGGACGCTACTAGGGGCTCCTGGCATCGCTACTAGGAGCAAGGACGCTACTAGGGGCTCCTGGCATCGCTACCAGGAGCAAGGACGCTACTAGGGGCTCCTGGCATCACTACTAGGAGCAAGGACGCTACCAGGGGCTCCTAGCATCACTACTAGGAGCAAGGACGCTACTAGGGGCTCCTGTACTAGGAGCAAGGACGCTACTAGGGGCTCCTGGCATCACTACTAGG